TATTGCATCAAAACTTTCGACAACCACAATCGAATGGCCTGTGAATTTCTTTGAATACTAAAAGAGAAAATTTCGTTCTCTTTTAATCAATCTTTTTAAATTATCATTAAAATTGATGAAATAATTAGTAAGAAAATGAAATGACCACGGGTTTTGCACGATTGATATGATTCAGATAATAACAAGACTGCTCGTAGTCACCTGTAAGTACAAATTATTAGAGGAATTGGTAATTATTGAAGGGTCTACTAATACTTTTTGCAACCATAAAGAATCTCATTGTGTCAATTCTCTTAATATCAGTGTGATGGATGCTCGTCACTTCATTCATAAAAGAAAGTAAAGAGATTGTAACACGACGAGAAAAGAGTAAAGACAAAAGTAAAGGCAAAATACAAGTTATTAACTTTGGTAGTAATCATGGTCCTAAATAACCCGTTATGGCTCGTTATGGCGTCAAGGCTTAGGTTCACCGCCATGTTAACCCTTATGCCTACACTCTAAGGCTTGCATTATAATGCGTTTTGGTGCGTTATGACATGTATGACATGTTACAACGCTCTATTTTGTAAGGTGTAAGGTTATTTTAAGGTATAGCTTGAGGGATAAATGATAATTATTTACGGTATCTAAGATTTAAATAAACATAAAATGAAAACTTAAAAACTAAAACCTTAAATAGGTATATACTTTACTCACATTCCCGTACACTAAAGGTCGAAAAAGAACTATTCTAAGAGATCTACTCTTGATTTTCCACTCTTGATATCATCTTTTATAAGCTCTATATATTTGTTATTTATTGGGTATTGTACGAAGTATTTGAAATACGAGAAAGAAATATCAGTTAGATAATATTCCCAAAGGAGTTGCAAACAGTATCAATGGTTATTCTTTCTTTCTTAGTTTTATCACTTTATATGAATTTAATTTGTTTTATAATGGGGAGAGTGTGTGCGTGTCTATATATATATGTGTGTGTGTGTGTGTGCGCGCGCGCAGGGTTTGCCTTAAAAAAACGTCATCGACCTCGCCGTAACTTGTAAGGCTGGTGGCTTGATCACCTCACTCACAGATGACGACGATGGTGAAGAACTAATGAACATGACAAAGATCGTTGCCACTCCAGATTCCCCCATTTCCTTTTTTTCTTTTCCCGTTATCCGAGATCATTCCCCATTATAACATTGTTTTTTTCGTTGCCTATCTTTCTTCCCTCAAATCTTTTATTGTTCAATTGTGCATCTCATTCTGGTCTCTTTTTTGTTTAAAGATGATTGCATTTTAAAGATTAAATGAATCCATTAATTATCCAATTGCTGATTATAGTTCTTTCAAGGGTGATTGCTTCTAGGCAATCCTAGTGGCAGTTGCTGCACCCCTACCTTATTATGTACATGTCAGATCATGAATCAGTAATTGCATCCAATTTCTACTGTGAAATATGTTTTTGTTAATAAAGTCTCTACAACAAAGAAAACTCTTAAATCCTAATCAACATATATTTGTTTGATCTATTTTTTTCATCCAAACATCAACATGCAATGGAACATATACCTGGTTTTGTTTTCATTTCCATTTCCCACCACGTACCTATTAGCGTATATTTACTATTAGCTTATATTTAACCTAGATTTATGTTTAGCCTATTAAAGTTTGAGGGTAGTCTAGTCCTTTTTCATCATTACGGTTTCCCTCTCATTTTTTTTTATAAATATTCCCCCTTCTCTTCTTTTGTAATCAGGCTTTTCTATGATAATAAAATCGTAGCCACTTTTATCCTCTTAATCGTCGCTTTTGTCTCTTAATCTACATGTATCAAAGCGCAAGTTGATCCATGATTGTTGATTTGTTGATTGAAGAAGGTTTCGTGATGAACACTAGTTTTGGGTATGTATTTGAGTGTCTTTGATTGTTGATTGTATTTACCATAATGGTCATTGAGTTGAACGGTATGGTGACAAAAAAAATGAAGTCATTAAATTGAAAGTTTTAGTGACAAAAAATAAAGTAGTCACAAATTTGAAACTATTAGTTACCAAAATAGCAGTCACTAACTAGTTGGTGTTACTTAGGAATGTTAGTGACAAAAAATAGCGGTCACTAAGTTGGAAGTTTTAGTGACAAAAAATAATGGTCACTAAATTGAAATGATTAGTGACCAAAATATTAGTGGTCACTAACTAGTTGGTTTTACTTATAAATGTTAGTAACAAAAGATGGTGGTCAATAAGTTGGAAACTTTAGTGACAAAAAAAATAAATAGTCACAAATTGAAATGATTAGTGACAAAAAAAATAAATAGTCACAAATTGAAATGATTAGTGACAAAAAATAATGGTCACTAAATTAAAATGATTAGTGACTAAAAATAGTGGTCACTAATTAATTGGTTTTACTAAAATATAAAAATCATTAATTTTGTTGAAAAGATAAAGGTAGATAATTGAAATCAAATATTAATAGTTCAACAACCACTACAACAAAATTGGGATTACAGGACACCCTCAATCTCTAAGCGTCTCAATAGATTGTTTTATTAGACTTAATTTATAGAGCCAAAATATAAACTAAAGGTGTTGTAATAAGTTTATATGACGCTTTTGGGCGTCTTAACAAGTTTTTTAGGACATTTTTAATACAAAGTGTCGCATTAACAACTTTATAAGACACTTTTGAGAAAGTGTCCTATAAACTCAATTTTTTATAGGACATTTGTTTTTATAGGACAGTTTTTCAAATAGTATCCTAAAAAACTTATTACGACGTCAAAAAACGTCATATAAACTAATTACAACACCTTTAGATAGGACATTTTATTTTTTCGGTCCTATAAACTAGGTCATATAAAGAGGTCTATTAGGATACTTAGAAATTGAGAGTGTCCTACAAACCCCATTTTGTTGTAGTGAACTACCAATGCATTGTAAAGGTATTATCTTACTTCTCGAGGGATTACCAATATTCTTATCACATTGTCTTCGGCTAACAACAACTACTAACCCAAAACCAACTTTAAAAACGTTATCTCCACTCTTTTATGAGACAACTTTTTAACTTTATTTTTTTTATTTGAATCCCAATTGTTTGGCTAACCTTTATAGAGGGAAATCAATATCGGTCAACCAAGTTACTGCTACACTTTGTACGATCTTCCAAACATAAAGAGGTAAGTTCATATGTTTCACTTATTTAAAAATGTTCAACATGCACACATAGATAAAAAGGGTGGGGGATTGTTTGAGATTGTCGAGACGACTTTTCTTCAATCGTTGAATCTTGATAATATAGTTAATGTTAAAAGAGGAATTTGACATCGACCCAAATGATCAAATTCAATCCTTCAACATCTGGACAATGTGGTAAGATTTTTCCTCTTATAATCACCTTAGCATAGAATTACAGTTTGTAAAGGTTCTTAATCTTGTCTCTATCTCCCCGAGTTTTTTTCCACCTGGAAAGAAAAAAAAAGACATTTTTATCCCACTTAGGTTAGGCCTTATCCCATCTAATGTTATGCCAAATATAAACAAGTTTTTGTACTGTCTAGTTCTATGTAAGCATCAAGATGGTACTTTTATTGAAGTTTATATAACCGATGGGTAGGTGCAAGAATTGTAATTAGTCACCCGAAAGGAAGAGAAATGGTCAAATGCTCAAGACCAATTGAGGTGGAAATTAGCATACTTTTTGTTCATATCCTATTAGTTAATGACTACCTTTTCACTAGAAGCCATTAGTGATCAGTGACCACGTATTTGGTCTCTAATGGACATCAACACCAACTAACGGATCCGTTATCTTGAACCAAACTAGTGACCTATTTTGTGGTGGTCATTAACTTTGGTCACTAATATGAGAAATCAATGACGACTTTCACTGATTTAGTGACCAGGATAGTCGTCACAAACACAGTGACCACTCTAGTTTTGTCACTAATTTGTGCTCATTTTTGAATTTGGTCACTAACGTAAATTAGTGACGAACCTTTAGTGACGAAAAGTGACAACCCAAATGTTGGTCATTAGAGTGTCTTAGTGACCAATTTTTATATTAGTAGTGCCAAAAATATTTTGTCACTAATGAGGATTTTTCTTGTAGTGACATGTTAAAATATATTTATCTACTTGAGGACTCCTTTAAAAAGTATTAACCATTAAACAATGAATTAAATGATAATGCCTACAAAACCAACAAACATTAGAAATAAAAATACCATCAAACAATGAATTAAATGATAACAACGGTAAAACGAACAAAGATGAGCAACAAAATTTGTTTTGTTCGAGTCTCCCGTAATCATCCCAAAACCCAATTCTCCCGATCCATCTCAAGGTGTTGTTGCTTAGTAAATAGGAACTTCGTTTCGTTTAGATGCCTTGCCACTCGATGACGATCGGTGGTTTGATCAAAATGTTGTGCTTAACATATGTATTTAGTTGTATGAACTATGAACTTACTTACTAAAGACTTAATTATGTTCAATTAACTAAGAAAAATATAGAAAATAATACGTGCATTATGGTTATTTTTAAAAGAAATTAGATGATCTACACACATGTTTGCTCACATTAAATTAATTTAGATCACTATATTAATAAACTAACATCATCATAACCCACTTTGGTTGGTTCACTCCAACTTGCTTTTATTTGATAGTTGCTAATGATTTGGTACTAAATAATTAAATGGTCAGAATGATTAAGAGACTATAATGATATAGTATAAAATGAAATATAATTGTTTGATAAGAGGTAAACAAACAATCATGTAGGCTAGCTATATGGTGAGAGAAACATGGCTACGTCTTCAAACCACAAGCATAAAATTAGTAGTAAACATTTATACTAATCTTGCTTGTGTTGTGCATATAAAGATTAGAGTAAATTACATGATCAGTATATGTGATTTTACATAAAATCATACCGTGTATCCCTAAATCAAAATAGCTATGGCAAACGTTTCTGTGGTTTACATTTTCACACGTCTTTGGTCCTTTTACGCTAACATCATTAGTTAATTCCGTTAAAATAGGTTAAGTCTAAGGATATTTTAGTCTTTTTATTCTCTTTTATTTTCTATTTAGAAATTTTTCGATTTAAAAACCACAGGGATGAAAAATGTGACTTTCTTTATTCATGTATATATATAGATTTATATATTTATATATAACACACACATGTGCGTGTATATATATATATATATATATATATATATATCACCACAAACACAGATCGGCAACCAACATACGAAAGATAAACGACGACCAACTTCCTTACCCCGTCTCGGGCGAAACGTACACCCATTGATCATTGTCATCGTTTTAACCTCATTTGCAGAGGTTGGGAAAGCTGGGAAGCTTATTGAAAAGATATTACAAGTAAAGAACTTAAAAACAAACAAAAGAGAGGTAAAGAAACCAACTGAATGGAAAACCCAACAACATCTCGATGATGGCTGCTCCAACGCTGCCATGCTCTCTGAACAAAGGAGAATATAGAAGTATCAAAACCCAGAAAATGTAGACGATAAAAGTAGAAAAGCCTAGGCCAATAAACTGTAAAAAAATCCCTTCCAGATCTATGACCTGCTGCTCCTTTTTCTCCTACATCGTCGCTGGGGTCACGAACGAAAAACCCAGAAGCATGGCTTCTCAGCCTGTTGCTTCTTCAGTAGATCTCAGATGCCTTGCAGCCTCAAAATCAACTATTCGGAATACCGGATGGCAAGAAGATCAGGGAGGAAGGTTAGGGACAGAAAAGGCGAAATAAAGGAAAGGTTGAAGGAGAAAAGAAATCTTAAAGGAAGGGATATAAAGGGGAGCCTCTTTCAGTAGTATACGATGGTATGCCTCTTCATTTTTATTCTTGATGTAAATTTGGGAACATTTTATTGCGTTATATAGAAACTACGTACATCATACATTCATATATGTTATGAAATAATTTATTGACGTTGAAGAAATTACACCTTGACACCCCCATGCATGATTAAGACTACATTCTAACGGATTGATTGCTTCAAATGAACACGTCACTTGTCAATAAATGCCATTTGCTCAGGATCCAAGTTTGGTACTTCACACGCATAAACTTCTTCTATTACCTTCTTAGTACTGCCAAGAAGCTCCGCTGCAGCCCGAACACTAGCCTCTCGTTTCTCAATTGCATCTTCCTGGCATTTCATTACTATGACTCGTGGTAAGTTGGTAAAACAAGCAACCGCTATGTCTACAATCATGCTAGATAGCTGGTTAAACAGTTGCTCTCCTCTGTCGTCTTTGATGTCATCAGCGTAGTTAACCATGATTGTTTGCGTCACACGATACATCGAATCAGCAACAACCAACCTGTCACAAGAGCTGTCAAACGGTTCCTGATTGATGTGTTTGTTCATTTCTACTGCAATGTCCTTTGCTGTATCAGCAAACCATTCAAGAATCTCTTTTATATTTTTTTCTTTATAGGCATTTCTTTGGAGCGTGTTCCCCAACCACTTGTAGTTGACTTCAACCTCTTGCCACAACGCCATAGTTGCCTTATGAATTTTTTTATATTCACCTACGTTGTTGAGGCTTTCTTCAACAAGAAGAGTATATGAAAGACTTTCACACACACCTCTAAACAAGTTATCAACACTCTCCTGACTGATGTTTGGAAGTGTAATTGCGATGCATGTTAAGGTTACTATCGGCAAGCTCCAACTGTTGGGAAATGTAACCAAATTCAGACGTTGAATATTCCCACTATCAAATTTCACTACTCCTTCGAATCTCCTACATTGCTCAATCAGCTTCAGAAGATTTGTAGGCAGTTGCTTCTCACCCTTCTGGATTGAGCGATTTGCCGAGTTTGAAAAGCTTTTGAGTGTTCTTCTACCAAGCTCCATCTTGTCTTGAAGTTGCAAAACATAGTATCCATCGTCTCGGCTTGTATCACAATTTGACGCAATACGCGTAAGAAAGAAGTTTGCCTTCAATGACTTGCAGCAATTTACGCAAAACACACCGATAATGACAGTGCCTAGTGGAATGAGTACTATTATTTTGCATGATACCACAATTACCTTCTGACAGATAATGCAAAAGTTTAGAATGAGGTGATACAAATTGTAGACAAGAGCTTTTGATATCCGACCACTTAATGGAAAAGCTAAAGGAATCTGTTTCCACTCCAACAACTTTTGCGTCCAATACTTCTCTACTTCACAGACCTTGGTATGTTTATTAACCCATTCAAGGGACAATTTGAAACTTAAGGCTGCAAAGCATCTGAATAATGGGGCAATGATGCCCACTAAAATTCCAATGGATTGTACTACGACAATCACAACTATCGACCACTCATAATCTGAACCGAAATTTAAATAGGCAGCTTCTCCATAATTATTTACGCAGGTGTACACAAGGAAATAGTAATGCAGGGCTATCGTAGGCACACAAGCTATCCCAACCGCAGAGCATAGTGGAGTGGTAATCATAACAAACTGGGGGCTAGAAGTTCCTGCCATCATCCAATATTTTCTCACATGTTGTATTAGTTCTTCAACCCTCGACAATCTTGTACGTTGTGGACGTACGTCATTTGAAGTTGTGTTTTGTACCCTTTGATACTTAAATTCCAATATCTTTTTTGAGGTTGGAATCGTTAATGCCGAAGATATCATTATTACAAGTAAATAGAGCATTACGCCTATGTAAACATAGTCATCAAAGTACTTAATAACCACACCGGTCTCGATCTGGATTAAAAAATTGACAACGATTGTGATAACGAGAAGGACCATACCTGTAACATTTGCAAGAAGTTCCCTATTGTCCATAGACGCCAGAGAAGGCATCAAATTAGACATCATAGTACACATGAAGGTCATGCTTCCCGTCTTGGCTAATTGGTCCATGGCGCCCGGCATCTGACCACTCAGATCGACAGGGAGCTTCATTGCGATAGTTATGAGGATGATAGTAGTAGTGTTGAGAGTGAAATATTTGGATGGAAACCAGAGTTTTCTATTTCGAAAACCATGGAACAAATCAGCGAGCATGAGAAACATACACAATAATGTTGCTACGGCTATGTAGATCCCGATCCACAACATGGGTTTGCTATAAATCTTCCCACTTTCTAAAGTATTTATCTTTAGGCAGAACCCCAACAACAATCTTCTGTCTCTCTGATCGAGGATGTTATTCGTACAATGGGATGTAGCTGCATCCATCGCCAACACTTTCCAAATTCTGAAACAGTCGTCGGTAGCTGAAGTCATCTTGGAAATCAACTCATATAAAGGGATATGTAATTAATTGTTGTTGAATTTAGCATATGAATGCTTAATATTTATATTGAAGGAAGATTTTAGAATTTATTGTGGCAATTAGTTGTGGTGGTTCAAAAGCCAAAGTTAGATCTGTCGGCTACTATCATATATTATTATAGCCTTAATCATCACTAATAAATAATGAAGGTCTCAAGAACCATGCAGGAAATTGCTCTAAGTTAACAACAAACTCTTCATCATATAATTTGTCTGAAAGAATCAATCAGATATTCTTGTCTGAAAGAATCAATCAAGTCGAAAGGTAAATGTTGCAGGAGTAGCTCAATTAGTTATAGTCTTTTTGCTTTAAGAAATGGAGGTATACTTTATACAAACAGACACAAATCGAGGAGGGTGTCGAAAAGTTGAAATCAACTTATGCAAATAGACACAATTAATGGTTTTTTGCAACACCAACTTTACGTTTATTCAATCAAAGGGTCTTTAGCCTAGCGGTATCGTAGCTTTTGGCCTTCTAGAAGGTCAGGGGTTCAACCCTCACTATAGGTGAGGAGGGTGTGTAAGTTTATTTGTTACATTTGTCGTATATAAATATTATATACTTCCAAAAAAAAAAATTTACGTTTATTCAGGGGAGCAACATCAATTTAAAATAGAAGCATCTTTAAAAGAATTCCAGGATGTTAAAGTGTGGGTGCATGTTCATCACCATCCATTACAATACAATTTCTAGTACACTTTTTAAATAAAAAATTATCCTAAACTACAATAATTTCTAACAAACTTTGAAGATGATAATTCATCAACAACAAAAAAAACTTTATTTTAATCACATAACAACAAAACTACGATCAAATATTATTTATTAGAATTTAATACCAAATAATTTATTAATTAAGCAATTATCATGAATTAATTAAATTAACAATTTTAGATTAATCTATAAAATAAATTATTGTTTTATTTATGCCTTAATTATTGTCCGGATGATATTTTCCATATCTATACTTATAATAAATTAGTAACTTGAGTGACACGTGTCATCTTCTGGTGAGTCGGTTTTTTTTTTTGTTTTCTGGCTAAACACGTATATAAACACAATTTACAATGGTGGTTCAATTAGACTTATTTGAATGTATCTAGACACAATTTACATTAACAGTTCAATTATACTTATTTGATTGACGCAATACTAAAAATGTGGTTTTTCCAACGGCAAAATCTGTCGGAAAAACATCTTATAAAACATATATATTTTTAAATAAATTCCGACGGAATATAACTTTTTATTAGAAAATTACAATCCGTCAAAAATCTGTTGGAAATATTTTTTTAAACATATTTTTTTGGAAGGGAAAAGAATAAAAAAAAGTTTTCTTAAACATTTCCGACGAAGTATAATTAAATATAAGAATCAACTAGAATCTGTTGGAAATTTTAATTAATTAATGCTAATTAGTTAATTTCAATAAATTAGACCAATTTTGTGACGGATTTGTGACAGTATTAAATAAGTAAAAAAATCCGTTACAAAACCGTCGAAAAACCGTCGGGAAAGTTGTAGAAATAAAGTTTTTTTTTTAAATCCAGTGACGGATTTGTATGAGATTTGTGTCGGACGTCGACAAAAGTTGATTTTTCTTGACTATACAAAACTCTGAAGTCTGAAGACTTTTACTTCAGAGTTATTTCAAGAGTACAAGTCCAAGTCTGAAGTCATTTTTCAGAGTTATTTCAAGAGTACAAGTCTGAAGAGTCATTCTAAATTAACTTCTAAGTTTAAATTCAATTTACTGATATAGTTTTATTTCTAAATTTAATTTTATTGTAGGGTTAACTTTATTTTAACTAATTATTGATATAATTTCATTTCTAAATTCAATTATTCAAAGTTATGTTTCAAAGTTATTTCAAAAGTACAAGTTTGAAGCAGCATCGTACTTTCAATGATCATTCATATTTGTAAGATAAATTCCTGACATGATTTAATTTTTTCAAATTACCCCGTGTAATACACGGGATCGAACCTAGTATATACATATATGCATACATAATTTGGATTACGGGAGAAATTTTACTACAAACTTATCTTAAGTGAGAAATACCGTACAAGTTTTCTGGGTTTAAAAAATTAACAAACTTTCCCTTACGATTAAGACAAGTTTGTAGTAAAACTAATAGGAGTTAAGAACAT